AGATACCTATTATTGGGTGACTTCATTAGCTGAAGAAATAATTTTTTCTACCTCCTGTAAATTAGTCAAGAAGAGGATTAAAGATTTATCAGAAATAGCCGGTACTATGGAGAGCAGGTATAAAAATCCTGTTCTGTGAACTCTTGCTCTCTGGTGGCCACCTCCTGGTTCTACCACAGGGAGGGTTCCCTGCATTAAATCAAAAATCATTTGTATTTTCTATTTGTCCTATGTCCTGATGAATACAGAGCTGTATGGAACCTTCCTAGACAAGGAACATTGTACCTTTTGTACATATAGAACTTGTCCTCTATTTGTCAATGAAAGGGCAGAGTATAAATAAACAAAGAGACAGGAGTTATAGCTGAGAGGTAGAGTGTTTTCCTTGCAAGAGGCTCTGAGCTCAATCCCCAGCAATAAAAACGACATAAAAACAAGAGAATTAAAGGGTAATCAAGCTAGGAAGAAAACCTGAATACTCATGACTGTATTTAAGTTAATGATAATGACATTCACTAAGTCAGAATTTTCCAGACCCCCTCAGTGGTTCCCTCTTCATCATCTTCTAAACTGAGACTAAGGAAAATTTTAATTGGTAAACTTGAAGAAGAGGAAGTATGTAGAGAAGTGCAAAATAAAAATAGAAAATCAAAATTAAGAAATGTGGAGAAGTCAAAGAAGTGAGAGAAAAATGTAGTCAAGTAATTGGAAAAAATAACTGGAAAATATTCAATATGCCAGAAGACTTAAAAAAAGAACTTTTTTGATAGGACATTCATTTTAAAATCTAAAGGTTTTTTGGTAATAAGTTTATTACCAAAAATAAGGTTGTTAGAACCCTTTTATTTAAACTAAGTATTCAGCATTAATACCTGTGATTAAGTACCTTCAATGTATATGAGGAAAGCCACAGAAAGGTTACAGAAATCAAGCATTTCATATTTATTTTTAGGTTCACTTAATTAACTAACCAAAAAAGGACTTATCCTCCTGTTTAAGCTGATGTATAATTAAGGTATCTTAGTACAAAGAATTTGTCCATAAAGCTAAATTAGAATGTAGGAGGGAAAACCTGAGGTTTTTCAGCTACACTTTTTAAAAAAATACAAATTTCTGAAAGCATTATTTATTCTTCCAAGAAAACACTGAGAAGCTTCTACAGGTGAGGCACTATAATAGGTGCTTTGGAGGATACAGAGGCAGATAAAATAAAGTTTCTTTTCACAAGTTTCTAACAGGCTGATCATCTAAGGACACTAGAGTAAATTTCCTCTCGTTTCTGAACCAGTTTCCTGAAATTGGTTCTGTATGCCTAGTGGTTGAGTTTTCCAGATAGTGCAGAGTTGACCATTATCAACATCAAGGACTTTGATTTTCAAATAGTGACCGGTAGGGACACCGAGCACACTTTCATCTCTTCTTAATCATGTAGGATCTCCACATGGGCCCAGGGGACTGTGCTAATCCATGATGTGGTCACGCTCTGAGGTCTGACCAAGAATCAGACTGTTTGATCTCGCATCCATGGCCGCAGACTGCTCTGCTTGATCATGTCTTGCATCATTAGTGATTGCTATTCAATGAGTCCCCTCTTTTAAGCTTTAAGATGTATTAATGTTCAGTGTTAAGCACATCTTGACCCTTGCTGCACCTCTACGTGGGTGGTGCTATTCCTGTCTTTTAGGTGGTTCTGGTGAGATTTAGAAGTATAAACAAACTTGCCTGGACCCAGGAAGTTTGTGGGTGCTTAAGCTTCAAACCCAGGTCTAACTGCGGCACCTGATCCTGCCACTACCATCCTGTGGGACTGGTCTTTTAGCTGAGGTCTGAAGCTTAAAACATTCTAAACATTGAATTTCTTTTTCTTACATTTGGTACCCAAAACTCATATTGTGGCAAAATTTGACCTGAACTGATTTAAGATGATAGTCTTTATCTTAGTATAAACGATCATATATTTAATTGTGCCACTATTGTATCTGTGTAATATTTTGTATTACATAAGTATGGTATATACTTCTTTGTACCTTCCTGAAGTAGACAAACCTTTCAATTCTGAAATCAACTAGCCCCGTGGGTTCCAGAGTAGAGATACTGACTTACCAGCTTGCTCTTACTGCTTACCACCCTCCGCCCTCGTGCTTCTAATTTGTTGCTCTGAATAAGCTGTGGGCTGGAAAATTCAAGCCTGTAAATTTTCACTACCTAAAGGAACTCATATAACGTTTTAGAATCATGAGTTCATACTGATATTCTCAGTTCCAATTTAACGCCACAGAGTTCTTATACTTCTCTATTCCAGAACTTCCTTCTCTCTGTTACAGAAGAAATCATTTGAAAGACGGTAAGGGAAACTTTAAATATGTCTGAATGCTGCAGTGGGGTTTTGCAGTAGGGAAGAGAAGTCAGGCTCAACTTCACATGCAGCAGGGACAAGTTGAGATTTGTAATTGAGAGTGTGGGGGGTCAGTGGGTAGAAAGTTACTAAGAGGAATCAAGGCTGGGGTGATTCCTGCTGGACCAATTCAACTAGTCAGGCAGGCCAGAGTCATTAGATACCCAGGGTAAGGGACAAGGAATTTGATCAGATATGAAGGATGATCCAATACCAAGGATAGGGGATAGTTGCAAGATTCTTGCAAAAACTGGCTCAAGCAGGCCAGGATAGAGCCCAAGGTCAGGGCCTACTCGAACATAGAACTCAGAGGAGCTTGACTGAAATTCACAAAGAAAAGACTCCGTCCTTCCATTCCTTTCTATTTAACCTGGATGCAAAACTTTTCTCTTGGCATGTGAAAATCTAGATTTACATTTTAACTTAGATAAGTAGGTCCTTCTTTATATGATGATACTATGACAAATATCAGCATTTTAGTGTATTTAAAACAAGAATATTTATACAGAACTTTAAGGAATACTATATATCACTTGACATAACCAGAATTATATAGAGAGAGTGGATGTTGGATGGTCATTTCGGGGGCATCACACCTCTTTCTCCCTTTCTTGGAATGGATATTTGGGGATTGAAGTACTCATCATAGTCAGAGTGATAAGAGGAAAAGTGAAGGAATCATGAATTAAAGATTTACCTACTGAAGGCCTTCAGTGTTCTCACTTAGAATGAGGGAAATGAGGGATAGATTAAGACTGCAATGTTTTATTATAACTTTTTAAAAATGGAAAAGGAGTCTAGGATCAGTCGAAAAGAAAGGTTCTGCAGATGACTTAAAAAGTGGGTTCCTGTTTTCAAGCCTTATTTGGTGAGCAAGGAAAGGAAGAAACTAGAATGTGACAAGAGTGTTAGAAAATTAGGTTTCTGAATCTCTCATTTTGTGCCTTTATCATATAGAGAAGAATAAGGAGAGTTTGGAAGAGAAAAGTACTTGATGAGTTTTGCTGATGTTGCACGTTTCGGAACAGCTTCCAGGGAGCATGGTGCTTCTGGAGGGCTTAGGCAGTGCAAGGGAATATCACGAAGAACAGGCGGGGCAGTGTTTATTGACCACTCGCTGCATGTCAGCCATTGTACATGTTAACACGTTTAGTTATTACAAGTTTAAGCCCCGCAAAACAGATTGAGGTGGCTGAGATTCAGAGGAGTAAAGAAGCTTGCCAAAGCTTTCATGACCCCAAAATAGAGAAGTTGTGGCTGAAAGCTATTTCTGTTTCCAAAGCTCCCCTCCTTTTTTCGTATCTTCCACCCTCTAGCCATTATCACTTTACAGAGAGTTGAGGGTGGCTGCAAGACCAGTCTTAGAACTATTCTCGCCACATGGCAGCAGGACAAGAGGCTTGGGTTTCTTCTTTCAGTTGCCTTTCTTATTGTGTCCTGTTGACATCAGTTTTATGCACAACCAGCTGAGAGCAACCTCCAAAAGGAAGAATCTTTGAACTTTTATTTTTAAAGTTGATAAACAAAAACATAAAAATCAGGCATCATATGGAATATTGATGCACATATACATTGTGTAATGTGTAAATCAGGGCAAACATCTTTATCTCCTCAAACGTTTATCATTTCTTTGTGATGAAAACATTCAAAGTCCTTTCAGTTTTTTCAAATACATGGTACAGATGCTCCCTGGTGGTCTAGTGGTTAGGGTTCAGTGTTCTCAAATACACAGTACGTTGCCAGTAGCTGTGGTCGCCCTACCATGCAATAATAGCATAACAGAACTGCTTGTTTCTATCCAACTGTAACTTAGAACCCATTGATCCACCTCTCCTCACTGTCTCCTTCCTCTGTCCTCTCCTGTTTGTGGTAGCCACCAGTTTACTCCCATCTTCTGTGAGATTTTTTTTTTTAGATTTTATGTGTGACTGAATTCATATGGGGCTTTTTTGTGTGTGTCGCTTTCTCATCAACACTGTCTTCCTCTCTCAGACATGTCATAGTAGATCGCTCTGCCTGTGAAGGTGTCGTGGGCTGGTTTCTCTGGAATCTATGAACCTGTAGCCCAGTCAGAGCCCCTCATCTCAAATCACAGAGCCTCCCAAGTCTGTGGCCACTTCCCACAGTGGCAGAGTTATGGTTCCTGAAGAAATACATTTGAAGAAAATCTTAAGAAACAGTTGGCACACAGTTGGTGAATATTTGTGGGATGAATGGATCTACTGCCTCCTGGAAATCCCTGTGAACAGCAGTGGATTTACATGGTCGGCTACTTTTGTACTTGGCAGTTTTCCTACAGTGTTTATTTGAAAACAAATTCTGATTATATCCCAGGTCACTTTTATACCCATTGGTAACACTAGAAATATATTTGTGTTAATAAAAAAAGCTTTCAAGATTGCCTCTTGGGATAAATGCTCTTTTTCTCTTATAATTAAATTATATTCTTAAACTTGCTATTAGAGAGGATAAAAATTTAACTAGAGACCGCAGGATTATTTAATTTCCTCTTCTCAACCAGTAATAGCTGTGTTACCATGAAAGCACTTTATTTCTCTGTTAGATTTGAAAATCATGGAACATTTTTCCTCTCTTAATAGGGAGAGATAATGCGTGTGAGAAAACGTCATACATGTTCCTACGAAAGGAACTTCCTGTGCGACTGGCTAACACAATGAGAGAAGTCAATCTTCTGCCGGATAACTTGCTGAACCGCCCTTCGGTGGGCTTGGTTCAGAGTTGGTAAGTAAAGTGCTTTACCTGAGCCTTCCACAATGCTCTGAACATTTGGCACTGGAACCATTTTCCGCAAAAGAAGCGCACATACTGCCCATCTGGGAATGAGTTACTGGGAATAGCTCAGTTTTCCATGCCATTAATAGGTTTTTCAAAAACTTACTTTCAAAAGTATTTCTAAATCATAATAGACACTTTCTTGACTTTTCAAATTTTATGTTTGTGGTTATAGAGATGGTTATTGAGTCTTAGCCCTGTTCCTTTTGTTTTCCTTTTAAAGAAGTTCCTTAAAGGTAGTATTTCGTATAGAAAGACCAAGTCATTTAAAGGGGACCCTCTGATTAGAAAAATATCAGCTCTCTGTTGTGCTTCATCTACCCTATGAAAAGTAAAAAATCTTAACAGAGTATACCTTAAAGTTAAAACTGTTGTAGCTCTTATGTATAAAGCAGATGCTGTTTAATCGAGGAAGTTGAATATGTGATGAAACGTCCCACTAGGTGAGCAGGGGGAGACCAGCAAGCACTTGGGTGTAAGAGCAGGTGGTGTGTTTTTAGAAAAGTATTTGCATGTATTTGAGAAACAGTGCAGGTTTTCTCTGTGTTGTAATAGCAAGGTTGAAGTCCTTGGAGAAAGCGGGAGTAGTTCAGGAGGCCACACACAGTGCTGTGGGGACACAGAGGAGGGGCAAAGAGAATTGTCTGAAGTCTTGCATTGTCCCTTGGTGGGTGGTGTAATTGTACCCATCACACAGAAACACCTTAGAAGAAGAAACACGGTGGACAGATATAAGGAGCTATGGATCCTTATATATGGAACTGTTTATCAGCTTGCATTAAAAGGGTTTGTGAAGACAAAGTTATTGAAAGAGAATGGACAGCCCTTCCTCAGTAATACTATAAATTCTTAGGGACAAATGGATCATCTGAGAAGCACTATGTTAGATGGTCTTAGAGGAACAGTGTTCAGTCTCTCTCCTAGGAAAGCAGCAGGACTCTGCCCCTGCACCTTACAGTGCAGGAAAGATCCAAGAGACAGTGACATCGTAGTCAGCTGCATTCTGCTCTGAATTTATAGCTTGTTCGAGAAAGTGGCAGCAGGTACTTGTTTGCATGAAACTTCTTTTGTTTTTTATTTTAAAGCTTCATTCCATAAACTGGCCTTTCCTCATTTGTGCTTTTTAAATTAGTACATATTAATTATACAAAATATTGGGTTTCATCATGGTGTTGTCATACATACATATAACATACTGTGATCATATCCATTCTGCCATTCCTTTCCCTTCCTACTCTCTTCATCTCCTTAGTCTACATGAGACTTCTTTATTGCTTCAAGAGCATTAGAGATTTTCCAGCAGAAATTATAAATGACTATCAAGTACCACTGTGGTAAGGATTCTAGGTGGGCATGATCAAGTCTCCTGAACTGGTGGTTTCATTTTCTATTTCTTGTGTGCTAGCTACTTCAGGAACTTCAAAGTAAATTACTGGCCCGGCAGTGTTTTCCAACACCAGCCACCGATTCCCTGATTTTCTGACACCAACTGGGTATTCAACAACTCGGTTCAATCCCGATGCTAAGTACCTGAAGTCAGCTCGGGCCCCATAGCTTAAAAGACCAGTCTCTCAAGACTGACCCCCATTCACCTGGCTACCTCCAAGCCCTGTGTCATCTGTGCTTTTGACTGAGTGGATGTAAATTGAGTTTGCATGACCTTCTTGTCAGGCTTGATAATTTTCTAGAATGGCTCACAACTCAGGAAAGTACTTTGCTTATGTTGACGGGTTTATGGTAAATGATACAACTCAGGAATAACCAGGTGGCAGAAATGCATAGGGCAAGGTGTGGGGGATGTGTGTAGCTTTGTGCCAGCTCTGGGCACAGCACCTTCCTATCTTCTATAACCTAGAAGCTTTCAGACTCGCTGTATTGTAGGGTTTTTATAGAGCATAATCTCTAGACTCCTTCCTCCCAGAGGTTGAGAGTGGAGCTGAAGGTTCTAGCCCTCTAAACATGACTCTCTGGCGACCAGCCCCATCTAGGGGCCCCATCCTAAGTCACCTCGTTAGCATAAGCTCAGGTGTGATCAAAAGGGATTCCTTATGAATAGCAGAAGGTATTCTTTTCATTCAGGGAATTCTGCAGGTTTAAGAAACTGTGTCTGGACAAGGACAAACGCCAAATGTATTTTTGTATCATAACCACACTGGCAAAGTATAGTGTCAAACAAATTACTGTGTCAACTCTTTTTTTTTTTAGTGTTTGTTTCTTTTTCATTCTTCTTCTATACAAATTCCAAATATGTGCATATACTTTAAACATTCTATTTTGAAATCATCTTCTACTTAAGAGAATGACTGCAGCTGGGTATAGTGGTACATGTTTAATCCCAGCACTCTGAGAGGCTGAGGCAAGAGGACTGAAAAAGTTTGATCCCAGACTGGGCAACTTAGCAAAACCTCTGTCTCAAAATTAAAAATAAATCAGAGCAGGGCTAGGGATTTAGCTCAGTGGTGCCACCACCTGCCTCTCAATTGCAAGGGCCTGAGTTCGATCCCTAGCACAAAAAAAAAAAAAAAAATCAGAACTGGTGATGTAGCTCTGTATGAAGGCCCTGGGCCTGAGTTCAATTTCTAGTTCTGAGACAGAGCGGGAAGGGGGTAAAGGGAAGAAATGGGGAAAGGGAGAGGAGAGAGGGAGAAGAAAAAAGAAGAGAATAGAAAAGGGGAGGAGAGGAGAAACACTGAGATTGAGTACAAAACTAGTAGAAAGAACTTCCATATACCTTTACTCAGATTTATCAATTAACATTAGGCCATATTAGTTTTATCACTGTCATTTAGAATTCATGTTCTCTATGTGTATGTATTATGTATATATGTGTTTATGTGTGCTACTCACACATAGCTCTATGAAAGAGTTGCGAAAGTTGACAGTCAGAATGGAGTCACTTGTGTCATCAAAAAATAAGTAAAACAAAGAAGTTATAAAGAAAGAGTTTTTATACATGATTGCCTGATAGTAACTACCACAAATGTCTGCCAGAACTACAAGTTTGCAGAGGCCACTACAACCTTATCCAAGAAGTATTTCTGTAAGGACATCTGCCAGTACCTGTTTGACCTTGGACAAATGCCATTCTTGTTATTAACCATTGTGCTCATGACCTTCAGGAAGTTTAACATTGGTACAGTAATATTTCCTAATATGTAGAACTTGTTATCATTTTACTAATTGTTTTAATAGTGCTCTTTTTTTAAAGCAATTTCCCCTCCATTTAGGAATCCAGTCCAGGATCATGCATTTGTATGTTTTTGTCATTTGTATGTTTTTGTCATTTCCTTTTGTTTTTAACCTCTTGGAGATTGCAACTGATCTAAGAGATGCCAACTCTTCTTACATATCGCTAAGGGGTAACACCTGACCTGCTATTGCTGCAGGGTTAAAAGTGAATTTGATATATGACTGTCCCCTCAGTCATGGAATGTTCTTCTTGCTGCCTTGATTTTTAGGCTAGGAATCTCAGGGTAGTCTTGGATTCCTCTCCATTTTTGCCTTTGTTCTTTAAAGGACTGCCCCCTTTGGGAAGGACAGGAGGCCTGCCTAAACTTGCTTGCACACGGCAAGACAGAAGGCATCTTTGGGGCTGGCCAACTGCTGTGACCTCCCAGGGTTTTGTGTGTGTGTGTGTGTGTGTGTGTGTGTGTGTGTGTGTGTGTGTGCCAGGGATCGAACTCAGGACCTTGCTCTTGTGAGGCAGGCGTGGTGTCACTGAGCTAAATTCCTGGCCCTCTCCCAGGGTATTTTGACCTGATGACTTTTACAGTACCTAGCCTATAACCTTATGTGCCCAGAAACTTTTTTTTTTTTGAGACAGGGTCTTGCTGTGTAGTTCAGTTACCTTGAACTCACTATGTATCCCACACTGGCCTCGAACTCGTGGTGATTCTCCAGCTTCAGCCTCCTGAGAGCTGGATTTACAGCCATGCACCACCATACCCAGCAGTGCCAGAAACTAAAAAACTATTACCAGAGAATGAGTGTATCAGATGCATTTTTCAAAAGCTTATGTGAGTCTGATGAATCAGGTCATTTTTGTTTGTAGGTTCCTATGTGTAACAGTCATTTTAGTCACTTGAGTGTCCTCATCCTCTATAATAGGATTAGTGCTTATTAGAAATGGTTAGACTATAAAGAGAAATGGTTAGAATAAAGGGATAACTCAGAGTATGTTAAACTCCAAAGCAGCTGTACTGGATCTAGTAGATTCTGGCTGAATTTACCTGACATTTTTCTGTGTTCCCCAGATCTTGATGTTGTAAGCATTCTTTTTCTTGTACTAGTCCTTACTGAGATGTAGAAATATTCTTAATCCAGACGCTATCTGAGGACCTAAAATACATTCCTCCATTTGGTATTGATGAAATTAATTTTGGTCTGAGAAGGCACCTTCTTTATTTTCTATTTCTAAATTCTTGGGTGTGTACTTCAGTGTCATTCATGTGCGTCTTAAAATTTAAATGCATATTTTTGGTAGTCAAATCATAAACTTGGGATATCAGCTAGGATATGTTTGTAATAGCAGCGAATGGAGCTAACCCTGGCTTGTGTAACTAGAAGGTCCAGCTGTAGGGATGAGATTTTGAGGTTGCTTTGAATCACAGATTCATAGGCTCCCAGAGCCCTGCTTTTGATGGTATTGGCTTCATTTTTAGGCTCAGTTCCCTCTTGGTGGCATAATAGCTATAGCAGTTCTGGACATCCACACAGCACGCTATAGAAAAGCAAAGCAAGATGATTTACTTCCCAAAGACCTCCTTTGACTGGCATGAATTGAGGCTGTGTGGCCATTCCGGAGCCAATCCCTGTTTCAGGGAAAGTACATGCAGTTATAGGCTTAGACCTGGACTACTAGACTAATTAATAATTTGTGGCAAGAGAGAAATTGGGTCCCCACACACTTTGGAGACAACAGCTTCTCCCGAAGCACTTGATCTACACGTTGGGATGAGATGAAAGTTGAGGGAAAACTGGAGTACTCTTGGGAAGAGGGAAAGAGGAATGGACGCTGGGTAGGCAACTAATAGTAACTCTTATTTTTTAGGTACATGCAAAGTTTTCTTGAACTGTTAGAATATGAAAATAAGAGCCCTGAGGATCCAAAGGTCTTAGATAAGTAAGTATACTACCACTTACCTGAAAGTAAAAGTAACTAGGTAAAAAAATGTTTTGGTAAATGGAACTCATGTCATTAAGACTTAGGAAATAAAATTTGGACAAAAGCGTTGGTTTCCTTAGTGAGTAAATGACTCAACGTTGGAGTTTTTAAATTTTTAAGTTAAGAATAATGCTACTTCAAATTGCTGTTTCATGACCCAATTCTTAATACATTTAGTCAGAGTGAACTGGGCACTAACTTTAAACATTGCAGTAAATGTTCCATCTAGTGGTAGGTTTAAGAATGCAGTGGTCTCCACATAGGTAGGAATTATCTACTCAGTCCTTTCTTTGCAATTTAAAATTTTTTTCACTGGGGTATTACATTTGAGCACAGAAAAACTCTAACGGTTTTATTTTAGAGAAGCGTAAAAGAATGTGCTTTTAATATAACAACCTGTATCCTGTTGCTGCCATTATGCACAAAGAGTGCTAAGTTCTCATGCTGATGGAAAGTATTTGTTTTTCAAGAAACACTAACCCTTGCTCTGTGAGTTTTTTCTCCAAGACAAATTGTTTCCTTCACATTAATTTCTTTCCATTTCATATAGACACGAGTGAATACACATGGCAGGCCTGTTGCGCTGAGAAATTTCTAAGAATTCACCTAATCCACGTAGTTGTTAGGCAGACACTAGACTTACAAGTTTTCCACGAAAAGAGCTAGGGAAACAGCAGTTATACAGACAGCCTTAGGTAGTATTTAACCTAGATCTCTGAATTCGCAAATAAGGAAACTGAAGTCAGAGATGTGAATGACTTGCCCGAGACTGTGACTGTTCTTAGCAGTCACAGTTCCTTTTCCCTGGCGCACTGTGTTCTTTGCCATGTACCCTACTGGCAGAACTGCTGGTTTGCTTCATGAGTAATTAGCCAAATTTAGTTATAAATTAAGATGCAAAGGGGAAAGGGCCCTGGCCTGTTTTATACTTTGCTAAGTGTTTTGTCGAACAAGCCTGTGAAATGCAGAAGGAACAAGCATTAGATTGGAGCCGCAAATGCAGTGGTTTCCTCGATACAAACCAGTGCTGTCACTAAAGGTATCAGTATCAAATGAATTGAATCCAGAAGCTGTGTTTTCTCAAAAGTCATTAGGTGGTGACAGTTTTTTCAGCTGAAAAATCTTACAAATGAGGGCTAGCCGCCCTATCTGTAAATTTGAGGACATGAATTTGTAGAAGTACATGATATGAAGTTTCTGCATGTTTTTCTGGACTCCTGTCTTGATTTCTGGAACAGATTATCAATCCGATGCAATATATGGGCATAAGCCTACTTTGTAAACAGCCAGCCCTGAATCCAGCGTGTTGTAGGTCTTCATGATAATAGCTCTCACTCAATGAAGCTCGGTAACTTGTCAGGTTCACCAGCCTGCTTAGGAACCCTGGGATTTGAAAAGCTTCTGTTCTTGGTGAGAGGGGAGTAAGGTTAGCGAGTGGCATGGGGGTGGCCTCTTCCGTTTAGTGAGCGATTGCCAGCTGGGGAATCATTTTAGTGAAGTGAAAGTAGCATAGAAATGAGCATATTGATCACAAGGTAGAGTTGAGAAGAGCCTGAAGGATTGGGGAAGCACTGTGGGAATGAGGTCAGCCTCATCTCTTCAGATAAACTGAGATGCTTCTCTACTACAGTAAATTGTTTCATTTTAAGACTGTTTAACTTATATCAACGTTGCAGAGTATTACATAAGGACAAATTGTCCATTGTAAAATTTCTGCTGAATAATTGTGCCCTTCTGATTTCTGAGTTGTTTATTCATCTTTGCTGTCATTGTATGTATATATGTGTTACAATAATAGATTATTGAGAAGTAAGACTGTTTAGATAAGTAAAAGTGAAACTTCTCCCAAATTTCTACTAGCAAGGGACAGCCACTGTTAACATTTTCCTTCTGCCTGTGATTTTTCCCAAGCGTGCCTGTATTTATATGAATAAAGATTTTTATAAAGGTGTCTGCATCACAGATCCGTACCAACCCTTCACTGACGCATACATTCACACAAACGCGTTATCAGGTAAACCCTTCCTGCCCGCTCCTTTCTTGTCCCCTCCCCTCCCCTTCTCTCTCTTTTCCTCTCCTCTCTTCCCCTTTATCCTTCACTCCTTTCCCCTTTCCCATTTTCTTTCCTTTGCCCTTTCCTTTCCACAGTACTGGAGATTGAACCCAGGCCCTTTGCGCTGAGCTACATCCCCAGCCCTTTTTATTTTTTATTTTGAGACAAGGTCTCACTGAGTCCCTGAGTTTCTCAGGCTGGCTTCAAACTGTTGATATCCTCCTGCTTCACCCTCCCAGAGTACTGTGATTACAGGCGTGCACCACCGTTCCCAGTTTTAATTTCTGTACGAACATCATAGGCAGTGATATCCAAACTTTTAGAGACGAGTGTCCAAACTGCAACCCAAACCCCACTTCTTTATCGCAGAGTGCCAGCAGTGCTACTCAACCGAAATGCTGAGGTTTAGTTTAGAAAAAAAAAAAAACAACTCATAAGGTTAACATCTTTTGTCTTAAAAGGAAAACAAATAACACATGTGCCATAGGTTTGCCACCACTGTCATCGCATGTACTTGCACAAACTAAGATGGCTATGATGTTCCTAAGCTATATGACTTTATGACAGTACCAGTGTGTATGGTTTCTGTCATTGATAGAAACACCATTGTGTGGTGTCTTACTATTAGTATTCTTTTTTGGCGGGGGGAGTTTTGAGACAGGGGCTCACTATGTAGTTGAGACTGACCTGGAACTCAATATGTAGCCCAGGCTGGTCTGGAACTCACAGCGATCCTCCTGCCTCAGCCTCCCGAGTGCTGGGATTATGACTATAAGTATTCTGTTGTTAGAATTTACATTGGTTGGTTTACACTTTTCTTGCTACTACAAGCAGTGCTCTGTACAAAGGCTGTTAGAAACAGCTGTTCACTTTGTCCAGTTGTTTTGCTAGGATCAGCCCTGGAAATGAAATTATTTTATTCAAGTTTTGATTTATGTTGTTAAATTGCCCTTTAAAATGTGTCAGTTAAGCTTCCATACTATCAATATGTACCAGGCTGGTCTGGAACTCACAGCGATCCTCCTGCCTCAGCCTCCCGAGTGCTGGGATTATGACTATAAGTATTCTGTTGTTAGAATTTACATTGGTTGGTTTACACTTTTCTTGCTACTACAAGCAGTGCTCTGTACAAAGGCTGTTAGAAACAGCTGTTCACTTTGTCCAGTTGTTTTGCTAGGATCAGCCCTGGAAATGAAATTATTTTATTCAAGTTTTGATTTATGTTGTTAAATTGCCCTTTAAAATGTGTCAGTTAAGCTTCCATACTCTACTGACACTCGTTATTCTTTGTCAGTCTGGTAAATAGAGAATAGTATTAGATTTATTTTTTAACTTTCCTTTTTTGTGAGGTTAAAGTTATTAGCATTTCTGTTTTTGCTCTTTGGTAAAATTTCCATTGATACCCTTTACCTAGTTTTGTGATAGGGTGCTTTTCTTTTCCTTTATTAAGTATAATAACTTCTGCAGTATATTTTTCTAGTTTCACTGTTTTTTTGTGTATAGTGTATGTCTCTGTAGAATTACTGAAATTCTACATAGCCATGCCATTTGTTTCTGCCATTTGAATTAAGCTGAGAACAGTCTTCCTAACCCCAAAGTTATACTCTTACCCACTTGATTTTCTTTTATCATTTCTACAATTTCACTCTTTTACTTTTTAAATCCACTTTTTTTTTGCTTTAAGGCTTGAATCTGGCATGTGACTTTAAATATTAGCCTGCTGTCCCAATTAATTTGATTATTCTCCTACTGCCTTGCAATGTTGCTTACTCAGTATGCTAAATTTTGAGCATACACTCATGCTTACCCTTGAGCCAAACTTTTTTATTTGGTTCCATTGATTGATTTCTCTTTTTAATTCTTAGATATAATTTAATATTTTTCTTACCTATCTTTACAATACTATGCCAGAACTTAAATTTACTTATTTACTATATGAGACTGGATCTTCTTGTGTTGCCCAGGCTCGTCTTGAGTTTCTGGGCTCAAGCAGTCCTCCCGCTTTCTGTCTCCTGAGTAGCTGGAACCATAGGTACATGCCACTGTGCCCTGCCAAATAAATTTATTTTAGTTGCCTTTCTTTTATCTATATGTCTTCATTACATTTTATTGCTGTAAAGAAATTTACTTCAAAAAGTTGTTCCTAAAAAGTTTGGCATTCTTTGTTTATTGAGGGAAGCTATTGCTTTGAAACTCCATTAATCCTTGGAGTTTTTTTTAGGAGGGATTGTCCTCATTGTCGGAAGAAATATTGATGTGTTCTGTAATTCTTTACTCACCAAACGTTTCTAGAACCTGTATTATATGTAATTAGTAACCCAAAAAGTCAGTGGATTCCTAGGGACCTTTTACTTTTCATCATTTATTTATTTATTTATTTAGGTACCAGGAATCAAACTTGGGACCTTGCACTTCCGAGGCAGGCATCAGCACTACTGAGCTAAATCCCTAGCCCCAGAACCTTTTACTTTTTGCATGTTTCAAAGAAGAATTTCTGTAGAAAGTTTTAATCAAAAACTTGGGTAATGCTTTAGTTTCTTGTGAGTATTTCCTTTTAGCACATAATGAAAATCTACAAAAATATGAGTAGATAAACAGCCTGGCAACGCAGCTGGGAAGTGTGAGCATCAGCCTGTGAGATACAAAGACTGATCATGTTTTATTTCCTTCCCACACAGCTTTCTACAAGTTCTCATTAAAGTTAGAAATAGACACAACGATGTGGTTCCTACAATGGCACAAGGAGTGATTGAATACAAGGAGAAGTTTGGATTTGATCCCTTAATTAGCAGTAACATTCAATATTTTCTGGATCGATTTTACACCAATCGCATCTCTTTTCGCATGCTTATTAACCAGCATAGTAAGTTGGGTTTTGTTGTTCCAGTTTTGAAAAGGTAACCAGAATGATTTCTCCCGCAAGTTTTCCCATTGCTTTCCTGTTAATTCACTGAGCTACATTTTTGACTACAGAAATTGTATTTCTGTGTTAATTTTTGAATCCTGCTACATTGCTAAATTTAGTTATTAATTCTACATTGTTGGTAGAAATATAAATTGCTACAACCACTATAGAAAAATCTGTATGGGGATTCCTCAAAAAATGAAAACTAGAAATTCTCTTTGACCCAGCTATTCTCCTTCTAGGTATCTTCCCAAAAGAGTTAAAACATGCACACCGTGTTTATAGCAGCACAATTCATAATAGCTGAATCTTGAAAGCAGCCTATATGCCCATCAGTAGATGAATAGATAAAGGAAATGTGATGTTTACACACAGTGGAATACTACTGTGTCCCAAAGAGGGATAAACGGGTCATTTGTAGGAAAATGGATGCACCTTGAGATTATAATATTAAATGAAATAAATCAGACCCACAGGCTTAAATATTGCATGGTTTCTCTTACATGAGAAACCCAAAATACAAATAAAGAGAAAAAGAAAAGATAATAGGAAGTAGAGAGTTAGATGTTTCTCATATAGGAATGGGAGCAAGTAATAGAGGGAGAATGGAGGGAGGGAAGGGGAGAAATGGGACGAAGAAAGGAATTAAGATGTGTTATGCACATGTACCAACTCCACACAAGAAATGTAATCATTACATACTGCAAACAGGTACTAGTAAAAAAGAAAACATTGAAAAAAATTCATTTCTAGTTCAGTTTTTCTAAGTGAATCTTGTCTACCAAAAAGCTATTAATTAGGATTTTTTTGTTAAACAAGATCCTTGAAAGATGTTTTTGATGCTCCTCTGCCATGACATTCTTGGAGGGGACGAGGGACCAGCAACTAGGTGTTCATGTCTGAATATCTTCATGTGTTCTACTTTTTATCCAGGATATTATGCATTTTCCTTTTTAGTTTTGAAAACATCAGTACTGGAACACAGAATTGGCATATTAGCAAATAAGCATTCAATGGTTTTGTTTCAGGGAGCAGTGAAATTCATTTAAGTGATATTATCAGTTCATAATCCCTCACTGAGAGTTTTAGTCTGTTCTCTAGAGTAATAAGAACATATTTAAAAAACTAAAATTGTCTCATCACGGAAAACTTTCTGGTTCATTTTCAGCGTTGTCTCTCTGACTGATTTCATAATTCTTAAGAAAAACCATTCACACATCTACAATCTACAGCCTAATTCGTTGTCCTTGTTGAACCAGGCAGTGGACAGAGCACCTTTATTTTACTAATCTATTTGGATCAGCTAATGTTATACAAATATTAAAAATGGCTTGATTTTAAATGCATAACATTTAAGAACAAATACATGGCAATTTACATTTAAAAAGAACCTAAATACTATTCAACTGAACTATTTAGATAACTGCAGTTCCTTTCTGATGTAAATATGTTCACATACCTAAATATGTTAATGTTTTTGGATCATCAGTTAAGCTTGTAGAGCTCTGATTTTCCCCTTAATCATTAGAACTTTAAGTGCTGAATTAATGCCTATACTTACCATTTTTCACATTTTAAGCTTTCCTGTTTTATTTAGCCATTTTTTGTGGAGTCCAAGTTATTCCCAATTTTTGCTTGATTTAAACATAAGTACAGCAGGGCTTGGGGTATATAGCTCAGTGGTAGAACTCTTGCCTAGCATGTATGAGGCCCTGGATTTGATTCCCATGCACCATCAAAAAATAAACCTATAAAATTTTGGATTGAGAATGCTTTTATCTTTGGGGCTTCTTTATGCTTTTCTTCAGAAATGAAATTTTGCAAATGTTATGTATGGTGAAATTATCTAAATTTTTTTTAAAGATACTTGAAAAATATTGTTTGTATGTATGACATGGAAAGTAATCTCTATGACAGAGGTGTTTGAAATGTTGCCAGGGAAGGCACCATACAGACCTATCCAAATGGTATGCACTGTGTGTTCTGAATATTTAACAGATAGCAGGACAAATGTCTGGAGTAGTCCCGAGAAAGTGAGTAAACTTTCAGACTAAGGGTGAAAGTAATTTTCTTCTTCCATCGCACTGGCTTGAGAAAAGGTTGGGCCTCCACACACATCACTGCTTTAGGATCTGCCCACTATAATGACAGATCTTGAAGCACATCCTGCTTTCTTATTTGGCTGGTAGGGTTGCTCATGTATTTCTCTGCTTGACCATCCCAAACTGCTATATTTTAATCCTGTTTTTTCCTTTTTGTGTTTAGCACTTCTGTTTGGCGATGACACTAATCCTGCCCATCCTAAACACATAGGAAGTATTGATCCCACCTGTGATGTGGCTGATGTGGTGAAAGGTAAGGAAAGCAGTGTAGTGTCATTGACTGCAGCTCAAATGGCAAAGTGATTTCTAGCCATTTAATCCAATGTTCTTTCTAGACAGTTCAGGTAAAGATGTGTAATTTGTAATGCTCCAGATGTGTCTATTTCATTGATCCAGGGCTACACTTGTAGCTCTGTCTCAAGCAGGAAACATTTAAGTAAGATTCTAAGCACTGTTATCTGAAAATTTCCTCATTTTAAAATTAGGCTGAGTTCACATATTTGTGAAATGTAAGCATCTCTGTTTTGCAGCCCTGGTATTAGACTCTGTTGGCATGTGAGCTTAGCTAGAAACTGCCAATAGCCTCAGCAGAGAGCCAGGCCTTATAGTCAGAAATCCCTGGCACCCAGTACTTTGAATCTGAACAGTAGTTTCCTCGTTATTCATTTAGGATAAATGCTATCTCCAGAAAGCTTGCCTGTGTGTGAGTGATCCACCAGGTTCCTGCACCTTTTTTATCTTTTTTTCAGCATTGTGATTATTCTGTGTGGCTTCAAATTCCCAACCAGTGCCTTTCTCCTGGTTGTGTCTCCTACTGTGCTCTTCATCTCTCTTCTAAACACTCCCCTTGCAAGGTTTCACACCTACAGCTCTCCCTGGTCTCCTTTGAGGATCTCTGTTTCTCTTCAGCAGCCATAGCTAAGGCAAACCTGTGTGACTTGTTTAACCTGGGCATTCCTAAACCCAGGGATGAGGACTCAAGGCCCAGTGGTCCTAGCTCAGCCTGAATGCTAAGCTGCTTCTGTTTAGTCAGAAAACATTTACTCACATTATTTCAGTAACAAGGTGAATAGGCCCAGCTTATATATTATATCTGTACTTTTTTTTGAATTGTAATAAAATATCAGGCTTCGTGTCTTAAACTTGTTGTGTAACTCACCTAGAACCTAGGTGAATATAAATATTTCTTGGTTTGATAAATTTTAAACCTTTTGATAATTTGCTTTTTTTTTTTTTTTTTTTTTTTTTTTTTTTTTTT